ATATATATATAGGGACTATTGTTCACTGTAATGCAGCAGCATTATATGAGACAGCAAGTCAGTTTCCTTGAACTAGTTAATAGACTTAATTTTATTTCTTTTCTTTAGATTTTTCTGATCAGGTGCAGAAGGCAGAAGTGAAAATCAAACCCAGGAAAGGTCGCCCAGCGAAAAAACCTCAGTCACCTCTTCCTGCCTTGGAGGATGACCTTACGGGCATCCTGAGCACTCGTTGGATTGGCAAAGAACCTGTAGTGAAGGATCTGGCCAGCTCACCACCTCTCAAGGCCCAGCCTCGCCGCTGGCTCTCCTCGCTGGCGCATGAATCAGATTGCCACTGCCCCTGCTGCTCTGAGCCCTGTCTGGGCCGCGCCACTGCTCGCTGGGCAGCAACACAGGCTGATCTGGTTTTCCAGCTGGATCCCGATGAAGCCAAAGTCAGTTTCAAACTTCAAGCAGCAACATTAGCTCGCTGTAAGAGTGTTGTTGCCAAACTTGGGGCAAAATTGGCTAAACTCTTCCCTCCCTGTGGCCCTGCCAAAAGCTCCATTAAACCCTCTCTGATGCAGGACGTGGTGGGCCGTGTGTACCTTCGCATGGCCCTGTCTGGGCTGGAACCAAGGCTTAACAAGGTCTGCAGTATATGGAAAGTACTGGAAGCTGGCTTGACATTTGTTGATTCCACCCCCTCTCCTGTGTTAGGACCTGTGAGAGCAGGCCTCATGGCAACCAAAGCTATCATGTCATTGGTTACCTTGGCTGCAAAAAAAGGCTGCACCCCAGAGGAGCTCTTCTCAAATGCTTGGACTTGGAATGCACCAAAAGAGCTGAAATCAGAACAGAAAGCAGTTCCTCCATCATCCTCACTGAAGAAGCCTAAAGAGTCCATTAAAAACCCAGATATTCCTGACAAAACAAAGGAGGCAAAGAAGGTCAAGGTTGTCAAGCCCAGGATTCAAGTAACAAGCTCCTCAGTCAAAGGAAAGGGCCTGGTTCCCATGACACCGGTAATGGTGAAATCAAAGCCATGTGTTGGGGACCTTGGCTCTTTTGACTTCAACACAGTGGTGCCCACTTTGGCCTGTACTCCTGTTCAAAAGGTTAGAGCCCCTGCATCCGTGCAGAGAGCACCAAGGACTGCCCCGAAGCTACAGTTTCATGTGTATGAGGAGTTGTCGCCAGTTCAAGACAAAGCCCAACTTGTGCCTGCTGCCCCCAGACGCACAAAGAAATCACGTTTCAAGGTAGGCATCTAATGAAAGTAGAGGCTTTGTTGTTGCACAGAAGTTTAATGGGGTTTTTGTTTTAATGAAAATTATCTTCCAAAATATTTCTAATTACAGGTGGAGTTTAGTGATGAGAGTGACACAGAAGCCAACAGCCATGCAGAGCCCAAAGAAAAGACAGATGTTCGTAAAAAGCAAACCACCACAAGAAGAGTTGCCCAAAACCGTAAAACAGCCTCAGAACCACCTGCAGAGAAGGTCCCACCCAAGAGGCAGGTCAGGGGGAGGAAGACCACTGCAGCGCCACGTGCAACTTCCTCTGGGGATGACGAGACTTTGGTCTGTCAGCCGGCCTCAACAAGGAGAAGAAGAACCAGGAGGGAGGTGTCCAGGGCGGAGGCAGATTCAATGGAGGAGCCAGACAAGATGAGGACCATTGAGGAGGAAACTACTGAAGTTCTGGACATAAGCATTGAGCAGCTCAGGACATCAGACACTGAGAGTGAAGACAATCCTGCTTCAAGAAAAGATATTGGTCTGTATTTTATGTACATGCAGCATGACAAGTTTAGTTCATCATCCATCACACCATATAACACACTAAAGACAAACAAAAGCAACAATAGTCAGCACTATCTAAGAGAAATGGATGAAGGCCAAAGCTCTCATGTCATTCTTGTCTCTCTTTCTAGACATAGATTTTGAGGTGTTGCGGAGGGATCTGTGTTGTGGTTTGGAGAGAGACGACTTGTCTGAGCTGAGGAGCAGAGGTCATCTGAGAGAAGGTCCACAAACCCACCTCTCTCATTCAGACACCAGGCCAGGTGAGGCTTTACATTGCTGCTGCTGGTCTACAATGACACTTTTTCTTTATGGTTGCATGGTAGTGTAACTTACAGTCTGACAATATGTTGACTGCAAAAACAGTGGTATTACAAAAGAGTCCTTTCTGAAATATTAAGCAAGAAAAGAACCACAGTATTTTACACTGTATGTGTACAAGAAAAAGGAAACACACCACTACAGCTGTAATTGATCATAAACTTTATTTACAGCATTGTGATGTGGGAAGGTACATTCTGGTGTATAATAAGGCCTATGATACCTAAACCTAACCTTAACCCCTAACCCTAACCCTAACTGTTAACAAAAAAAATGTAAACATCCTTAAAGTCAAAATGGTTGCCCTTTAACTTTCTTTATTTGGTTACATCTGTCTTTTTCTTTTCTCAGACAGTCTCTCTCTGGAGGATGTTGAGTCATTGCTCGGCTCAGCCTGGTTGGCCCTCCAGCACTTCCCCTCCCCCACCATCTACCCAATCCTCTGTGGTCTTCTGGCCCTGACCCGGGGGCAGCAGGACCCCATGACTACAGCGATGCTGCATGCCCAGTCATTGGGCATCACAAGTCGCCATCGCACAATCAGGCATTTAGCAAGCTGTTTAAAGTAAGCCTATGTGCTGTGTGTATAGTGTCAACTTGATTTCCCTCTTACCAACACTTTTGTCTTCTTATCAAGATATCTCAGACCCACTTAAATTATGTTTTTGACATCTGATAGCTCAAGGCTCTAAATTCTTTTATATTAACGGTATTACACATTGTTTTTATGTTGCTCTGATGTGTCATTCAAACAGAAAGCTGAGAAAGGCGACAAGTGAGCTAGCAGACAAGATGGATGCACTGAGTCTCAATGAGCTCAGTCCAAACGAGTCCAAGAACTCTACCGAACAGAGGCTGTTACAGCTGGAGAACATCTTCTCCTTTCCTACTGCTGACTCCTCTACCTTCCCCAAGAGCCACTGTCAAGAGTTCATCCAACAAATTCAACACCTTCCCTCAGGTAAAATATTAAATACTGTTTGACCTCCTTAGGGAAATGGGTAAATGTTATGTTTGATTCCAGAACGACGGTTTACACGTGTCAGTAATGTGTTGAGAGGTTATAGCAAAGTTTTTTAAACTGGTAATGCTGTAGATTTTGATCTCAGAGCAAGTTTTAATTGTTGTCAAACTTCTAGCATTCCTTGTGCTACTGTAACCATACTTAGTGGGGCATTATCAGTGTGCACTTTTCTGTCTTGTCCATAACCTGATTGAATTCAGACTGTGTAAGTGTAAACTATGTTATCCTTATCCTTTCTCTCTGTGTATCCCTCTCTTTCCTGTACAGGGGTGACAGTGTGTGTGATGTCTGTGCTTGGAGTAAAACCTGGGGAGATAGGTGACAGCATCATACTGTCACGACTTGAGAAGGGATCAGCCCCTGTCACTGTTCACATCCCTACCGCTAAACAACAGGTGAGGATGGTCAATTATGGTATCAGCAGAATGGTATCCAGAATCTAAAATCAGACAGTGGTATTGTAAATATGGTGACACAAGTGACATTAAAATCTTACAATGCTCACACTCCCATCCTTTACCAGCAGTGTCATGTAGCCTGTATGAAAGAGAAAATATATTTTTTAAAGTCAAGTTTTTGTTGACTAAATATCTGGGCATTTTAGTCTTATCTTAATCAAAGAAAACCTTAACTATCTTTGTAAAGTTTTAGTCAATAAAATCTGTTGACATTGTACTCTCTTTTTTTTTTTTAGACATTGGATGATTCTGAACATATCAGTCAGTGTAGTCAATCCAGTCTATTTCAGATAAGATTAGAAACACACTTCTCAGAACCAGTATCACCAGATAATGACTGATGGCCAATCAATCTGAGCACTCATGTCATCCATCAAATTAAAGGATTTTACTTCATATGACAGTCACCCCCCACATCCATCCAAAATGATGAACATAGCAGCTGCTTTCTTTGCATCAATGAGTAATCATGTCACAAAAAACTACTGCACAGTTCATCACATCACTGTTTACATCCTAGATTCTAACTCTGCCTCTGCCTTTGTCTCTCTGTGTTATGCAGCACCCCATCAGCTGGCTGGTGCAGGAGATAGATAGCATTCAGGTGGAGCAGAAGGCTGTGAGCTGTGTGTCTGAGAAAGCTAAGTGGTGGGAGGGCCGCAGGGCGCTCGACTCTCGAGTTGAGGTAAGTGGTGAAGAGCGAGGGTGCAGCTGGGGAGACTCAGAAGGCTTCACAATGCCTGCATCATTTACGTAATTTCATTTCAAGTTATACACTTACACTCATACATGAAGACCAAGAAAACAGGACTCGGAAAGAAAAGTATTTCTTCTAACAACTCCCAATCTGTCTTTCAGAGACTATTGAAAGAGATGGAGGGATTGCTGGGATGCTGGAGGAGCTTGGTTCTGCCCCTCTCATTGGACCCTGGGCTCTCTAAACAGGCCCAGAACCTTTGCAAGTCCTTGTCTGCAAAGGGAGTGACAGTCAGTGAGGAAATGTTGAAGGTATGTGTGTGATTCTGTCTCAAAAGCAGCCCAAAAGGAACAGCAAACTAATAAACACTAACGCTTCTGTCTCTGTATTTTAGGCTGTACTGTCTGCCTCTCCTGTGCTTTCCCAAGACGACCTTAAGAGATTTGCTCTGGGAGTTTTTCCACAGTGGGACACAGAGTGTGACCAACTTCTCCAAACAGCTGTGTCTCGGCTCGCTGACAGAGACGAGCCCCACGGTCATGTGGTTCTCATTCTGGACAGGGTGGGTTTTATCATCTCTATTAAATACTGAATTTTCCTATTGTTTCATCTGTACATAGAGGAGCTTCTGAGAGATAAAAGACCAAGAAAAGCGCTGTTACAATCTGTCCCGTATGAGATGGGATAATGCTGAAATGTCGAGATGTCACCTTCTGTCCTGCTTCCTCTGCAGTACCTTCAGAAGCTGCCGTGGGAGAGCATCTCCATCCTAAAGTCTCACTCTGTCAGCCGGATGCCGTCTCTGCACTCACTCATTGGACTGAGCCTTCAGAAAGAGGTCAGATTAAACTCTGTTACTGTGCCAATACGGCACTGTAACTGTAACAACTGTGCTGCAGATGTAATTCACTTCCTGACAGTTCAGTGGTGTTTATGGATATTGTTATGTAAATCTTCTTTCTTTAGACTGACTCTCAGTCCATCCTGAAGCAAGGTGTGGACACAAGGCAGGTGTTTTATGTGCTGGACCCTGATGCCAATTTAGGAAACTCTCAAGACCGATTTAAGGAGTGGTTCAGCAGGTGAGACTAATAATCATGACAGTTGAAAGAAAACCATTTGATTTGTCTTTGTGTCTCTCTGTCACTGGTCTGATTTCTCCCTATTTACTACATTACCATTCTTAATAAAGTAAACTGGACTGGGACGGTGTGTGTGGAGTGGCTCCTGACTCGGGTCAGCTGGAAGAAGCTGTTGCTACCAAGGATCTGTACATGTGAGTTTGTCATCTTAAGTATCCTGTGAGGGGGAGGGGATAAAAAATAAACACTTGTTGTGGTACATAGGTGATGATTGAGAGGGATTACTTTTGTATGAGTCTATACATTGTTTGTTTTTAAGGGAAGTCATGCATAGTATACCTTTAAATAAACTAGGATTTTTTCTCAAAGTTTGTTCAACATTAAACTCTTTTATTTGTTAACCTGTTTTCTTTTATATCCTCTTTGTCCGTGTCCCTCTTACCCGGGGATGTTTTAGTTACGTGGGTCATGGTGCAGGTGCACGATTCCTCGACAGCCAGGCAGTCCTGAAACGGCAGATGAGAGTAGCCTCTCTGCTGTTTGGTTGCAGTAGCGCCGCTCTGGCAGTGCGCGGCGATCAGGAGGGACAAGGCATCATCCTCAACTATCTCATTGCAGGCTGGTGAGACATCTGTCTTTACTTGCAGTTGAATTAGGATCAGTAAATTCTGTCCTGTTAATATATCTGTTTCTTTCTGTTTTTTTTTTTTTTTTTTTTTTTTTTGGTTTTGTTTTGTTTTTTTGTCTTAGCCCCTTTGTTCTGGGAAACCTGTGGGATGTTACAGATCGGGATATTGATCGCTTCACCAAAGCCTTGTTGGAGTCGTGGTTAACTGCTGGGTCTGGAGCTCCCCTCCTGGATTATATGGGCCCGTCACGTCAGGCCACACACCTGAAATACCTCATAGGAGCCGCACCTGTGGTGTATGGCTTACCAGTTCACCTGAAGTAGATGGGCTGGTAAACCAAAACTCATCTAGAACAGGAAGTAAAAAATCTATACAGTATCTAAATGTTTCAGCACTAAGCTGGAGGATGAGTTGAACATTTTTTAAAGTTTTTAATTCTTGTTTTTGCAGGTTTTGAGGATTACAGTATTGCATTTACTTAATTTAAACCGCTTTCATTTTTAAACCAATGTAATTATAGTGTGAATGATTTTATTAAGTGTTTCCATGCACTTTTAATGTGTTGATTGAATAACAGTATTTGAATAAATGTGTTCTCACACACAATCTGTGTCTACATGGTGGAAATTACTTTGTAATTAGTTACAATTATGTGAAGAGATGGGGAAAAGCCTTAAAATGGCATTCATCGTGTTATCTTCTATGAACAAGAAATATGTGCTGTGGGAAATACAAATCATTGGAAACACCACAATCTGTAAAGAGTTCGCTCTAGAGCATTTGATCAAAAGCTTGTGAGTGTCTACTGTAAATTGAGGGTGCATTGTAGGGTCTATGGGCACAAATACTTAGGAATATCAGGGTTACCAATATTAATATTACATGGTCATTTGTTCAAAGTTTCTGTTGAATGTACATAGTGAATGACAAAGTAAAAAGACAAAGGTTTATAGTTGGCTCAAAATCCTGCCATGATTTAAGTACAAAATAATTGTCACTCCCCACATGTAATGAAATTGGGTTTTAATATCTAAATGACTTTTGTGTCTCCTGAACTTGAAAATGCATTCTGACTTATAAATTTATATTATGATTTTTGGCTCATAAATAACACCAGTTTGTATGTGTCACAGCATGTTTAGTGCCAACTAAACATTAAAGGTGGATGACTGAATTTACATTTTTAAGTTTTGCCAGAGGTTTCTCAACAAAAATGCAAACGACAGAGACATATTTAGGTCTATGCTGAAAATCATTTTATTACTTTTTTCCCCCCCATTTCATTGATGTTGGTGATGCACTCAAAACAAGCAAGTTTTACATCATGATGTGAACCCAAGACATGATGGCCTTTATGCATGTATGTTTATTTTAGATGACCGACATGCGTTTAGAGTGGGGAAATATTGGTGGTATTTACAAAAATTAAAACATGATGGATAAGAAATTTAAACATTAAGAAGCCTTTATAAAAGAAGCAGGTGCATTCTCTATGTTGTCCACACGGGGGCGGTGTTTCAGACCACCTCTATGAACCGGAAACATATTCGGTAAGGGTCATCTGGCATCACGCTTCCAACATGGCGGTGAATCTCACAGACCTCTCCCTGCCTCAATTAGAGGGACTGAAAACCCAACTAGACCAGGTAATATGTAAACGTTAATCGTATTTTATTTTGACTGTGTTCTTTTATATTGACTTAATGTGGGCGTTAATCTAAATGGAGACGGGAGAGTAGCAGAGTAGCTAGCTAGCTCCTCTGAAGCTAACGCTACAAACGGTAATTAAATATGCAGGGTGTGTAACGTGAGTGTCAAACCTCCCCACGCTTCGTTATAGCGCTGTGTGTCACACATAGGTCAACAATTATGTTTCACGCATTTCTACAGCAGTAAAAATACTTTGACATGTTTACTGTGAGCACTTTTAAAGTCTCATGCTAAATGGGTGGATTATACATCACATCTTTGGATTCAGATAACTGACAGGTGTGGTCGCTGTGTGTGTTGACTCTCTAACGCCTGTCTTGTACATGTTGATGTTTTGCAGGAGATTGAGTTCCTGACGTCTTCAATAGGTCAGCTCAAAGTGGTTCAGACGAAATATGTTGAAGCAAAAGATAGTATGAACGTGCTGAACAAAAACAATAAAGGTGAGTCCAATGCATTTAATGAGTTTGTGTCCCATCAAGCGTTTAACAGAGATGCAGGAATGACTGATAAAAGCATATTTAGCTCATGAGTGGTTCCTCATTTGCTGTAATAGATAATTTTAATCTCTGCTATATGTTGGGGTGGTAGTAATGGCTACAAAGAGCTCACTGTACATCAGTGTGTTGCACAAAATTCTGTCCTTTTAAACATACTGATTTCAGTTTGATGAAAGTTAATGAAAACATCAACTATATCTGTGAATCTGCAGCAGTTAATTGTTCCCCCATCTCTTCTCTCTCATACAGGAAAAGAATTGCTCGTGCCACTTACCAGCTCTGTATCCTTGACTCACAGTGGAACAACCAGCAACTCATGTTTTGTGTGATGTGCTTTAAATGAAGTCATGTGTCCCCTGAGACATGCATACTTGTCCTTGACATTTCTTCTTCTCAGATGTACGTCCCTGGAACATTAAATGACGTGGAGAATGTTTTAGTGGATGTGGGAACAGGATACTACGTTGAAAAGGCAATTCAATTAAATTCTTTATTAAGTCATTTGTTCAAATCACGTCTAACATTGTTTTGTAAATTTTATTTATACTCTCTATTTGTCTTTCTCTGCAGAGTGTGGAAGACTCAAAGGCATTCTTCAAACGCAAAATAGACTTCCTCACAAAGCAGATAGAGAAAATACAGCCAGCCCTTCAGGAAAAACACGCCATGAAACAAGGTAAGCTACATTTTTTTTTACAGATATCTCCATTTTCTCCTTATAATTTTGCTAAATGGTATTGCATTTTTCTCATTCAAAGCCATATATTTTAATGCAATACGTCCCTTATCTTTTATTAACATAATAGAAATCAAAAGGCAAGTCCAAAGAAACAGCATTCACTTTGAAGTTATTCAAGTGTCATTTAGTGTTTTACAACCTGGGCCATATTTTCCCATGTTTTTATGTCGTGGTGACTAATGAGAACAACAATTTTTGAAAGTGCTCCAGTAATGAGTGAGAGCGCTGCAGCTGCCAAACAGGCTACAATGTAATCGCTTGAGGCATATGCACCCGCAATGTGTGTCCAATTAAAGTTCTTGTTTTTCCCACTGACAGGCTCAGATTATTATTGTATCTGATAACATTACAGAAAGAATCCCTACAGAAAAAGAAGTGCAAGATTGTATTTGTTTAACCAGAAACAGCCTAAAAATCGCTATCACCAAACCCACCAGACTTTATTTAAATAAACAGTAATTTAAGTGTGTATAGAGCAGCATATTTTCACATCTAACTGGATGGATTAAGGGTTTATTTCAACCAAACCAGAGCTAGTGATTGTTGGACTGGTGGTGAGACAAACCAAGATGGTTTTTGTGAGTTTTATTTTGTTTCTGTTGACTCTGAATGAGATTTGTTTTACGATGATAATATTACTGTTTACTTGAGTGGAGTCTGGTAACAAAAAGGATCTTGGACCCAGATGCTTAAAGAAAAAGGTCTATCTCTGTGGGGATCCTTTCCATAATGCTGTCAGACACTTAAAATAATCTGAGCCTGTCAGTGGCAAAACCAAGAACTTTAAGTGGATGTAAATTGATAGTGCGCATACGCTCAATACTGGACCAAATTCCAAAATTGATGGTCCCATTATTAACTTAAATACAAAAAATGGGAACATAGGATCCAGGTTGACAAATACCAACATTGCTGTTTGCAGCTGAGTGCAAAACATTCTATATTTATTATGATGTATTTCAAAGTCAGTCAACCATAAGCTCACCTTTTTAGTTCAGAACATATTAACACACCTGTTTACTTTGCACATTGTGTTCTTTCTTCCAGCTGTGATTGAAGTAATGAACGTGAAGATCCAGCAGCTACAGCAGAGCCAGCAGGCGTCACAGATGATTGGGCCCACCAAGGCTTAAGGAGAACACCTGTTTGAACTCCTCATGTTGAACTCTTCAAGCATTTTTACGTTTGCGCGCAAATAACTCGTGTCTGCTGTTGTAGGACAAGAAAACGCCCTCTGCTTATCTGATGAAGTCATGTTAGATACTGAAGAGTAAAGATTTGTTTTTTTTCTGTACTAAGTGCACAAACCTTGTCACCAGTAAATTATAAGTCAGCTGTCGCCACAGTAACTCAATCACGTGTACTTTGTCAATTATAAGTCAAATTAATTGGGTGTCTGATAAGTTTGCGTGATTAAAAAGGTCGCTGTGCATTCATGAACATTGTTTGTTATTGATGTGTATTCATCAGTGGGGTCCTCTACCAAGACCTCTGTTTTTAAATCATAGTTTGTGAACATTTTTTTGCAAGTAAACAGGCATCTTCAACACAAGTTTTAAGGCCCTGCAGACACACACACAGGTGTTTACACTCATTCTAGTTAATTAGACTGCTCATGTTAAAGGTGGGAGAGCTTGAATTACATGAGGTCACTGGACTCCATCTGGTTGTCTGTACACAGCCACACAATCCTGAGAGCAGGGCTCATCAGCAACAAGTGAAATCACCAGTGTGGGTTTACCATTGACGTACAGGGCCCTTGACACCGAGGTGATGGCATGACTGCAGAGGAGAACAGTATTCGTTCAGTGAGTACAGGATCCTGTGCACATCAACTCTAGCACAAACATGCAGTCATAATCTAACAACTGTTTCTATCAAGACATGCTTATTATATGTTCAACACACTAGCATTAGTCTTCATAATGTTGTTTCCAGCTGCAAAGTTCCAAGTTATAAACCAAATCTTTATCATCTTTAGTGACAGTGATTTATAACACTGTTTGGGTCATGTTAAAATGGTTTAAATTAATAACTGACTTGATCCTTGAAAAATCTGAACAGCGTGTATATAAGCCATAGTTTTGGTTCTGCATTTTTGTAACACTTAATAAGGGAACAAATCATATACCTAGGTAATTTTTAGCTCAATGATTTAATGTGTAAATAAATAGAGGAAGTATCAATTCCTGTTTCTCATCATTATAAATGACTGTAATTAGTTAACACTTACATCATCAGTTCAGGAATTTATATGTACTTCATATATTAACTGATAAATTGATATGCTAGGACTCCAGTTAAATAAAAATACATATCAGACCCATATATTTCAGGATTTCAGCCTCTCTATAAGCAGAATTTTTTTTACTGCCAATGAGGCCGTGTTCTTCCCCAGTAAAACTACTGAATTTATCAATAATGTAATAATTGATAAAAGTTAAATTCCACAAAATCCATGTTGTAAAGATCTTAGAAAAACACACTGCTGCAGTGAGATTGATGTCTTTCAGTTCAATAGGAGCAAGTGTGATTTGTGCCAGTTTAAACTGTTAAGACTGTTTCAGTAGTGAACCCACGCTGCTGTTGAAGGACAAGGTTTGCCAGTGCCCATATCACTTCCAAACTTTGCATCAGACCGTGTCACTCAGCTTGAGAGTTAATAACTAACAGAGCAGTCAGTATTACTAACTTGGTTTGTTTACAATGCCAGGTGAAATACAGTGGTGCAATGTAAGTACATTTACTCAAGTGCTGTTCTTAAGTGAAATTTTGAGGTACTTGTACTCAGATATTTCCATTTTATGCTACTTTATACGAATAAGTCCACTACATGTTGGTGGCTAACATTGTACTTTTCAACTACATTTATTTGATAACTTAAGGTACTTTGCAGAATCAGATTAATTCTAAATGTAAACTAACTAATAAATTCCGATATCATTATAGTTTAAAGGGAAACTACTCCCATTTTCAAATTTCATACATTTTATTCCTATGGTCTAAGACAGTTGTAAATGCAAACAACTCTTCCAAATCCATAAGCCAGAGAGCTGAAACTCAAATTTGTGATGTCATAGGGTATAAAGTCTGGAGCTGCACCATAGACAATGAATTGTGAAAGATGTTACATATGACACTGAGAGCACCCAGGGGAATGTTCTGAGCATATGGGTATATTTTCTGTCTCACAAATTACCACTATAACAGAATAAAACTGATTTGGGTATAAAAAAGAAAACAAACATTCTGTAGGTCCACAAAATCAGACTCTGATCCATGGTCAGTGGAGCAGCTCCAGACTTTATTCCCTGTGACAGGGATATTCAACTTGTTGTGCCCCGGGGCCACTTTTGCAATATGACAGGGGCCAGTTAATAAACATTAATAATATTGATGAGTAAATTGTTACCAGTTTTCAGCCTTTTGATGCAGCAGCCTTGTGCAGGTCAGGTGTAAGCAGGGGCGTCTCAAGGATTTGAGGAGATTCTGGGTTTAGCTTGGACCTCTGTTAGGGGTCTGGGAGAATCCTCCCCTGGCACTCTTGTCCTTTTTTTTTTTTTTTACATAAAAATCTCTAATGCTTTTTATGCACTCTGGCACTTCATCTACACCCAAAGTTAAAAAGAAATCCCCAGTGTGAATCCATATACACTGAACAAAAATATAAACGCAACACTTTTGTTTTTGCTCCCATTTTTCATGAGCTGAACTCAAAGATCTAAAACATTTTCTATACACACAAAAGACCATTTCCTTACAAATACTGTTCACAAATCTGTCTAAATCTGTGTTAGTGAGCACTTCTCCTTTGCCGAGATAATCCATCCCACCTCACAGGTGTGGCATATCAGGATGCTGATTAGACAGCATGATTATTGCACAGATGTTCACCTCCAAGATCGTCTGAGACCAGCCACCCGGACAGCTGCTGCAACAATTGGTTTGCATAACCAAAGAATTTCTGCACAAACTGTCAGAAACCGTCTCAGGGAAGTTCATCTGCATGCTCGTCGTCCGATCTTGGAGGTGAACATGCTGGATGTGGAGGTCCTGGGCTGGTGTGGTTACACGTGGTCTGTGGTTGTGAGGCCGGCTGGATGTACTGCCAAATTGTCTGAAACGCCTTTGGAGACGGCTTATGGTAGAGAAATGAACATTCAATTCACGGGCAACAGCTCTGGTGGACATTCCTGCAGTCAGCATGCCAATTGCACGCTCCCTCAAAACTTGCGACATCTGTGGCATTGTGCTGTGTGATAAAACTGAACATTTTAGAGTGGCCTTTTATTGTGGCCAGCCTAAGGCACACCTGTGCAATAATAATGCTGTCTAATCAGCATCTTGATATGCCACACCTGTGAGGTGGGATGGATTATCTCGGCAAAGGAGAAGTGCTCACTAACACAGATTTAGACATATTTGTGAACAATATTTGAGGGAAATGCTCTTTTGTGTGTATAGAAAATGTTTTAGATCTTTGAGTTCAGCTCATGAAAAATGGGAGCAAAAACAAAAGTGTTGCGTTTATATTTTTGTTCAGTGTATATATTTAATTGTGAATTAGAAAGCACCCCACCTGGCACTGTACTGCAAGCCAAATTTGGCCCACAGGCCACAAGCTGAGTATCACTGCCCTATGACATCACAAATTTGAGATTTACTACTTCTTCTTCTTTACTTCTCTGGCTTTGAGAGAGAGTAGCTCATGTTAACAAATAGTAATTGATCTTTCCTCTGCCATGGAAATAACATATTGGAATTCTTAATTTAAGTGATGTTCACCTTAAAGATAATAAGCTCTATATAAAGTAAATAAAATTAACTCCACCTTTACCAGCTGATGTACGCATTAATGCATTAATAATTATAATCCAGTAATGTCATAACACCACTCTGAAATAGCCCATTCTGCATAATGAGTATTTAACTTTTGGTACTCATCAGTATATTACGTAACATTTCCAATGCAGGATTTGTACCATAGTATTTCTAAACTGTACTACTGCTACTTTAACTTTTAAGTAAAAGAAATTAGATAAGTTAAAGTGTACACGAACTGGCTCTGTGTGTGAAATTACAAGCCCAAGGCAGGTCTTTTAAGTGCACGGACTCAACTCCATGACGCCTCGCCGGGGAGGTGGAGACGGAGTGCAGCAGTGTGTAGTGTGTTGGGACGGACTGTTGCTCAGACAGAGGACGCAGCTGTCACATGCTATCAGAGCGGAGCCTTGAAGCTGACCTGTAGGATGAGGAATTGGGCTTAAACAACATTAATTATCAAATGGGGAACGCTTTATAAACGAACAAACTGCGAAATAGTCGTTAGTGTCATCGACAAGAAGCTTTCAAAGTTGTGGTCCGCGCGGACGCACCGTTTGGACCAGAGCACGTTAGGTCGTTTGAATCACGTTACCGGGGAGACGGTAGTTAACGACGACGGGTGCCGCTGTAAAGACGTGCGGCTAACAGTGTTTAAGAGTTAAAGCCTCCGGTAAGGATAAAAGCAACAGAGCAATTAAACCAACTGGAGCTGAGGAGGACATACGAAGGCGAGGATCCAAGCAGCATGGTGAGTTCAGGGCCTGGGAGAGGGCACGCTAGCTAACATGCGACAACCTGTTTGCGTCCTTTATCACGTTTGATTCGTGCTGACTGAAGCTCTACCAAACTGCTTTACACCGCTCAAGTAACTTTACACTTGGTCCATTAATTGGCGTTTATGCGAAATATTACGTGCACGGGCAGTTAATGTGTGGTACTGTCAACCTGTCAAACAAATTAGTTTAGGTAAAGAGTGTAAGGAAAGGCCGGTTCTAACTGGTCTGCTAATAAACTTAAGCTAGTTAGCTAACGGCAGGTATTTATGGAGTCAGCGGTGACAATATGGTAGACGGCGAAACGCCAAACAAGCTCACCCTACAGACACGTGTCTTTGAACGTAACATAATGAATTGGAAAAAATGGCATTTCTCTTTACTACAAGTTGCTTTCAATGCATAGTTTAATTCATTTTTGTTTCGTGTGTGGCGACGAAGTTACTACATGTGATATGTGTTTAATGTTAGCTGTTACACAACTGTTACGTTAGCTAAATAGCTATCAGAGTTCCGTGATAAAGGTCATGGCAGTACACCGCCGAGACGTCGACTTTGAAACTGGAAAAATGCGGAGATATGCAAGAAATGTAACATTCACGAACACATTATATCCAGAAACATCTATATTTAATCGGAACTAAAGAGAAAGTATTTGAAAATCGTTGCATATGGTTGTGTGGGCACGTCGGCACCATGTGCTCTTTCTTCCCGACCCCCAGAGCAACGCAACTTTGCCTCAGTGCAAACACAGAGCTGCTGAACTGTAACCACATTTTGGATAGCAGACATGTTGACCTGAACATATACGGGACTGATTCGTGTATTGGTTAAGTAACTATA